CACGCATGCCTGGGGGCTGAATTTGAAATTTTCGAGTTCTATATAGACATGGAACATTACCTCAATATTTCAGCTTTCTAGCTTTTCTGGTTCCCGAGTTAGCGGTTTTTCCGCCAAAACTTTGACCCCCTCGTACACGGGCCCCAGATCTGCGTGAGGGTTGGTATCGCGGTCCTGGGGTGACACTTGGTCGGGAAACCCCCTCGCAAAATTTTGACGCCGAGGCTTGCTTGGGTGCCGAGTTGAAATATCCGGATAGACAGACAGACAGAAAGACACACGCATACACATCGGGGTCGTCGTGAAATGCGTTTTTGCATTTGCATATATGCAAAAATGCATAATTAGTTCTCAAGTATGCCGAATCTCGCGTATGATCGCGCAAAAGTTCTGACGCGAAAACCACTCAAAAGCCATAAAATTAGGAAGCTGAAATTTTGGAAGGATGTTCACAGTCCAGAGTTTCAAATCCTGATTTCACGTACCGGTGCATGAAATTCTTCATGAGAAATTTCGCAACTCAGGGACAATATTTCAGCTATCCTTGCACAGAAAGTGCAAAACAGTGGAAATCCTTAGCAGGCGGACGTTCGCTGGATCGAATTGCGCAAGACGCATGGTCGCACCGGTTGCCCCGGTGCAGCGTCGCTATTCATTTTCATGAGAATGTAGTGACGCGACGGAGTAAAAACCCCACATTCGTCCAGTCAGGCGCCACATTCCTAACCCCTCCGCGGGCTGAATCCGGCCCGCGGGCCGTCGGTTACCCACCCTGTGCTTCAGAGTAATGTTCACTACTCATATACGACCAAAAGATTTTGAACTCAGTTCTTCTTGCGGGGTCTTTCGCATACCAGCAACTTTTTGTTTGTTGGATCACTGAAAACGACATCTACAACTGACACACCACACAGCTGCACAATCAACTTCCTGAGCTTCGAGGGCCAGTATGTCATAAATTCTAGCTACTGGGATTCCTTGCGATTTTGCTACAGCACGAAATAATGAAACCCAGGCTGGAGCGCACCAGGCTGGCCGGCGCGATTATGCGTTTTTGCACTTTTCGTGCTGTTGCAATATCGCAAGGAATCACAGTAGTTAAGCCTGTGAGATACTGGCTCTCGAAGTTCGGGAAGTTAATTGTGCAAATGTGTGGCCTGTCAGTTGTAGATGTCGACTTCAGTAACCCGAGAAGTGGAAAGTTGCTGGTTCGCAAAAAAGGCCGCACTAGAGAAGTTAAATTTGAAATCTTTTGGTCTCACATGAGTAGGGAACATTGCCGTAAAGTTTCAGCTTTCTAGCTTTTTTCGTTCCCGGGTTAGTAATTTTCGCGCCAAAATTTCCACATGAAATGTACGTGGGCCCCGGGTGCTTTTAAACACCTGATTTTGATTGTACATAAGTAGGAAACATTCTCCGAAAGATCCAGCTTTCTAGCTTTTCCCGTTCCTGGGTTAGTAATTTCCGCGTCAAAGTTCCACGCTCTCGTACGTGGGCTCGAGTGCTTCTAAACACCTGATTATGCTCGTACATGAGTGGGGAACATTCCCCTAAAGTTTCAGCCTTCTAGCTTTCCCGTTCTCGGGTTAATAATTTTCGCGCCAAAACTTCCACATGCAGCGTACGTGGGTCTCGGGCGCTTCCAAACAACTGATTTTGGTTGTACATGAGTAGGGAACATTTCCGCAAATTTTCAGCTTTCTAGCTTTTCCCGTTTCCGGGTTAGTAATTTCCGCGCCAGAATTTCCACGTGCCCGTACGTGGGCCACGGGTGATTCTAAACACCTGATTTTGTTTGTACATAAGTAGGAAGTATTCCCCGAAAGTTTCAGCCTTCTAGCTTTCCCGTTCCCGGGTTAGTAATTTTCGTGCCAAAACTTTCAAATGTAACGTACGTGGATCTCAGGCGTATCCAAACAACTGATTTTGGTTGTACATGAGTAGAGGAAATTTCCGTAAAATTTCAGCTTTCTAGCTTTTTTCGTCCCCGGGTTGGTGATTTTCGTGCCAAAATTTCCACGTGCCTATACGTGGGCCCGAGGTGCTTCTGAACACTTGATTTTGGTCGTACATGAGTGGGAAACATTCCGCGAAAGTTTCAGCTTTCTAGCTTTTCCCGCTCCCGGGTTAGTAATCTTCGCGCCAAAATTTTCACGTACCCGTACGTGAGCCCCGGACGGTCCTAAGGAGTTGAGTTTGAAAACTTTTGGTCGTGCGTGAGTAAGGAGCATTCCCTCAAAGTTTCAACTTCCTAGCTTTTCTCACTCTCGAGTTATGAATTTTCCCGCCACAATTTTCACGTGCCCGTACTTAAGCCCCGAGCAGTCCTGGGCAGCTGAGTTTGAAACCCTTCTGTCATACACGGGTAGGGAACATTCCCCTAAGGTTTCACCTCTCTAGCTTTTCTTGTTCCCGAGTTGTCAGTTTTCCCGCCAAAACCTTCACGTGATCGTACGGGGGGCCCAGACGTGCATGAGAGTTGATACTGGGGTCCTGGGGTGGTACTTGGCTGGGGAACACAATGGCAAAATTTCAACCTCAAAGCTTGCGTGGTTGGCAAGTTGAAACACCCGGACAGGCGAACACACACACACAAACATACACACACACACACACACACACACACACACACTGACAGGGTCGTTGCAATATGCGTCCCTGCTGCCTGTTGCAGCGCTCTAACGCTGCACGGCAAAAACGCATAAAAACACATGATCGCACCGCCCGCCTGGTGCGCGTTGCCAGTGATTTAGATCAAATTCGTACTCAAATTCAACGTCTTTTGATTCATTCTATCTCTGCTTAGTGCTGTTTAATTCCTGCAAATTGGATTTAGTTTAACTGCGAATGAAGCACATTTTCACCACTCAAAATTGCTTTTCGAGGTCTCTTGCAGCTGTTGATCGTAAATGTTAAATGACGCAGTCATTGGCTATACTACGTTCCAAACCTGAAAACCCACGGCTATCCAGAAAACTACAAACATATAACATTCACCCTCCAAAATAACTGAAAAAAAACACAAAGGACCAATGCTCGGAGAAAGATGAAGTGAGGGAAGGGGTGGTATCATCGTCTCGAGATGGCCAGCTGTGCTGCAGTAGCTAGCCCTAGATAATGATGCCCACTATCCTTCACCCAGCTCCGTCCCTTGTTTTCACGGCTCTTATTTAGTAACTAGAATTCTTAGAACAGCCGTCTTCCACAGTCTGATTCCCTGGCTATGCATCTGGCAACTTTCCAGTTGCCTTGACCAATGATTGTCGCATCGCCTAATGTTCAGCCTGTCGGTGTTCCCTGCCGTTCCTTTCGTCTTCTCAAAAACAACTGTAGTCATCTACTAAATTGTTGCAATAAGACGCCGCTGAGCATTCACAGTTACAAAGAATAACCAGCCGTCCCGTGGCACAAATTTAGTGCTGCTTGCTTGCAATGCTAGCTGCTGGCATCTTAGTGGATCTGCAGGAACTAGTTATCTCAAGTTATTAACTAGTCGCTAAGCTTCCTTCCCACATACCAGAGATGTCAAGATATCACACGCCTCTTTGCATTCCATCAAAAATCCGCTGAATTTATTGTTGACGTTATCATTCATTCCATTAGGCTTCCTCAAAATAACGATTTAAGCGTGCATTAAAACAAGCACATCGTCTTATGTAACTGCAGTGTATCATTCACTGAAGTCTAATACGGGGAAATAAGTAGAGCAATGTAAAATTCGTAACTGCCCGTAAAATCTGTCCCAACAGTGGTTGTTGTAGAAATTTACTGATACACCCGGGAGGTCAGCTTACCTTTCAGAATTCGAAACTAAGACAAAATTCCGAGGGAACTAAAAAGACAACTTTAGCTGCAGAATGAAGTCTTAGTGGGAGTAAACCGATTTACGCCTCGGGCGCAACTTTAACAGAGTGTAGGATCTCGAGGACAGATTAGCTAAAAAAAGGCAGAGTCCGCGCAACGCTTCGCATTGTTTTCGCAAAACTGAATGAGCCACCGCATCGAAGATACATAATCCACAGCGTCAATACTCCCACAGGTCCTCTCACAGTTTCGAAAACCTGTTCTCCGTTCGATACGGTTCTCCCCAGATACGAGTTTTGCAGCAAAGCGTGGTCGCAATACTACTGCCCCACGACTCTGCGCAGCAAACGTTCTCATCCACCACCAGCCTGTTTGACAACGTTGCAACACTGCTGTACTGGAAAAGGCAGCTACTCCCGCCTGTCCAATTACTTTCACAGAAACTGATCAATCAAGTGGCCAGGGTGCTGGCGATCTTGGCGTTTTTTTCTTTTTTTTTGCTCTTTCCTTCTTTTGAAGAAAAATGCTAAACATACCACCTCACCTTCAATGCAACCGTCCTACCAACATGAACCGATTTCTCGGTCTAAAAAAGTGTCGTTTTACGTTGAAAGTCAGTAATTCTTCCTCACTTGTAAGTCGCAAAAGTTTAGGCTGTATTTCGTCATCAAAAAATCATTAGGAAAGCAACAGGCAACAGTAGTCAACCTCAAAATAGTAGCGCTCAAAGACCCAGCAGAAAACTGAAGATGACGCTATTACTACAATTCTGCGAAACAGAATTACAAGACTTTGATGGCTTAGAACTGCACACTAGATCCACCGGGAATGGTTGCTTTTAAAACAGCGATACGGTTCGCCGACGACTCGACTGGTCGACCCCTTCCAATCAGTTAATGTATGAGCCTTTTTCAACCAGCATTTTTCTTTACCAGACGGAAGACCGGTTTCGTGAAATGTCTATAGAGTGAGCTTCGAGAATGTTCGGATGCTGTACACAGCTGACTTCTGCAGCTATACTGTTAGCATATTATTTTTCACAATCAGTATAATATCAATACGTTATGCCTGTTCACACATCACATATATAAACACGTACTGTTTTATACAAAAAAAGACCGCAAACTGGTCACTGTCGGGTATGAATTCGTAAACACCGGCGAATAACTCTTTGCATCACCACGTGCAGACGTGTCCTATACAAAGCCATCAAAGCCTCTGTCCTGAAAATCCGGACCGCGACGAGGCAATTGCCTTGGCATGCCACTGGGTCGAATGGGACGACTTGGCAACAACTCGCTTCCACGGAGAGGATCAAGAGGATTCGGCTCAAGAGGATTTCCTGGGCGAGGCACTGACGGGAAGGGATTCATAGGCGGAATGAATGGATGAGCAGGTAGAGGGTGAAACGGACCCTGAGGCATGTCTGGATCTATTCGCGGTCTGTTCGGATACGACGGATTCGGATCAGTAATCCAGTGCGGGTCCACCGGATATCGCTCATAATCAATAGCAGCAGCCCGTCTTCTCTGCGCCTGTTCGCTGTACATTCTTTTATATGCTTCACGGTAAGACTCGCCTTTTTTGATGATGATACCTGAAAACTCAAATTACAATTCGCGGAGAACCGAGTACGTCGAACGCGTCAATTTTCTTTGAATTTTTTCAGACGATAGCGAAAAATTTAAGACTAACAAGTTGCAAAGAAGCTCTGTTAACTGTATAAATTACCTTTACCAAAATCTCGTTCAAGGAAAATTTGCCAAACTCTTTCTAATTTTGAACTTCGGCATACTTCCAGAGCGTATTTGTTGATTCTTTCCAGTCGCAGTATACTCCTTGGGGTCAACAGTATGAAGAGATGTTCTGCAACCGAGCTGTTCCCCAAGAAGCGTAGGAATGTGTTCTCATCTAAATCAATTTCTAGATAATCACAGCGTGGCTGGATTCACTAGAAATACAGTTGTAAAATGCTAATAGCACACTTCATGCGTTTAATTCAACTATAAAAAAGATTGCAAAATTTCAATTTGGAACCTCAGTGAAAAGCACAAAGATCAAATTCAAGTCACTGGAGTCAACGGCAACCCTGAAAACAATTAATTCCCGGTGAGAGAGCGAGCAGCCATCAATCACCAATTATAATTACCACAAAATTTCACAAAATATCAGGCAGTCAGATCAGCACTTTCTTACAACTCTAATAAAACGCCGAATCTTTGTATTCCCTCTTATTGTTGCAGTGTAACAATCAATTACCAAAGCTCGAAATAGGCCAACTTCCTGAACATGTATTCTAGGAGTTCCTAAAATTCAAACCAGAAAGCTATGTCAGAAGCGACTTTCATCCAGGATTGGTCCGAAGACGAAATTCATCCGGGTAAAACAACCACTTGTTGCACATTCAGGAAGAAAATAACTTACGTCCAAATAGGGCCAATTTGAGCGGCGAGACCAACCAATCAGCAACCTTCTCTCGCAAATCATCACTTCTTTCTTTTAAGATCACTGGCTCCAAAAAACGACGTCCTGATGGATGATATATGCTAGCTGTTACGTGGGCACACTTCGCGGATGCATCATCATATATACGAAGATCGATCTCAACGAGCAACGGCGTGTTCGGATGGCGAAATTTCCAACGTGTATCGTCAGTCGAATGCTGAACGCACTAAAAACGCACAGAAACTTAAATTGTACAGATGAAAATATTAATGAGATGACGCAAATTATGACAGAAATCCAGTTTTAGAGATAAGACCCAAGCACCAGAGTTTTCGGTGTGATCATGCGTTTCTGAACAAACCTTGAAACAGTCGGACCGTCAACAGTATTTACGGTTTAATATATGTACCCGTACTGTCGATATTTCTGCACTTTTGCTAAGTGCGTTGAAAGAAGGCAGATGGCTAATGGTTCAACGTTGTGCCGTACCGTGAAGCCGCGTAAAACCTCAACTTCTAGCACGTATAATTAACGTAAATTTTGCAAATAAGTGTTATCGGCAAAATACACTCTCAAGTTCGCCGTATTCATACACGAGACATAAGCATTTGTGAAAGCTGATTTTATGCATTTAGTGAGGCACAAGATACATCAGTATCCTCGTAAAATTGCTTTCTTAGCTGTCTAATTATCGAGACAAACGAGGACAAAGGTGCTGCAGTTTGAAAATTTGGCGCGTCTGTTCGCAATGCATATGTGAAAGCGGAAGCTATTTTTAAACTTGCGGGTCTGCACATGGACACTAAACATCTTCACAAAATTCCGACTTCCTGCTTGCTTTGGTTATAGGGTAAAATGGTACCAAAACTGTAAGTTCATTTGCAGAAAACGCGAAACTTAAAGGTGCTCGAAGCTCAATTTAAAATTTTCAAGTCGTACACAGACAGAGAATATCCTTGTAAAATTTCGGCTTCCAAGCTTGCCCGGTCCGCGAAATCGTTAATTCATCACGAGTATTTTCGACATGCCCTAACTGCGTGACGCGGGTGCAATCTAAAACTCATTCCAGACGTACCAGCCCCCACAAGCACAACAGATATTCTCACAAAAATTACAGCTATTCTTTCCGGCTAGTTGTCGAGTTGGTGCAGTGCCAACGACGAATTTTGACGTGTCCGTATGTGTGACTTAAGCGTGCATTAACTGAAACTAAAATCTTTGGCTCACACACAGGCAGGGAACATCCCGGAAAAATTTGAGCTTTCTATCTTATCTGCTTCGCGAAATCGTCTTCTCCCTGAGAAATTTATGTTTTATCTCCAGTAGCCGCACGTGAGACCTAAGCGGACGTGAACGCTGATTTCAGGTTGTAGAGATGACACGTGCGCCGGAAATGTGTAGGCAAAATTTTTGCCTTCTGGATTGCGCAGTTAAAAGTGGGTGGGGAGGTTCACATACATGCACACGCACGCACATACACACACAAACACACACAAACAAATACGCACACAAACATACACACAACACGTACACACACATTCATACACACCGACAACCTCTCGACAATATGCATTTTTGTTCACTGTGGCAGCACAATAGAGCTGCACAGAAAATAATTGGCCAACGCACAGGCTGCCCATGCAAAGATGCGTTTTTTGCATAGTTCCCTGTAGTTTTTGTCGCTACCGGCACCAATTTTCCCGGCAAATACTTCTAGCTAAACAAATTAAAACTGGCCGTCAGTCAGGAAACACCCTCTTAAAATTTTAGCTTTCAAGCTTTTCTGGCTTCTGATTAGCAACTTAAAAAAAAAAAAAAAATTCACGAGCCCGTATGTGGGTACCACTCACACCCGGGGGCTGAGTTTGAGCTTATTAATACCTGCTTGGATGGGGAACGTTCCCTTAAAATTTCAGCTTTCTAGCTTCTCAGATCCCCGAGTTATCAACTTACCCGAAAAAAATTTTGGCGAGCCCGTACTTAGGTACCACGCACGCCTGGGGCTGAGTTTGAGCCCATTAATACCTACTTGGACGGGGAACGTCCTCTTAAGATTTCAGCTTTCTAGCTCCTCAGATCCCCGAGTTATGAAATTACTCGGAAAAAATTTTGGCGGGTCCTTATGCGGGTACCACGCTTACTCGGAGGTTGGATTTGAGCTCATTAGACTTACGTGGACGGAGAACCTCTCTTTAAAATTTCATCTTTCCAGCTTTTCTGATTTCTGATTTTTTAGCAGCTTACCCGTAAAAAACTTTGGCGGACTCTTACGTGAGTACCACGTGGGCAAGACCGCCCATTTTGGGAATGGAGGCCCGTACGTGCATGTAGATTAAGCCCTAAGGGTTTGAGCCCTGTAGCTTTTGTAGGTCTCGAGATGAAAAATCGGTCCAGACGCGCAGCGCACACACAAATACACACACACACACACACACGCACACACACACACACACACACACACACACAGACAACCTCTAGTCAATACGCGTTTTCCGCACTGCACAGCTGAAAAAAACGCATAGAAAGCGTAAAAAATGGTTTGGCTTTGCAGCGGAAGGTGAGATGAAGAATGATTCGAGAACCATTTCATTTGACATTTGTGGGGTCAAACGAACAGGAAAAAATATGCGCGAAGGCATGTCTGCTGCGTCAATACTATGATCAACTGTTGTTTCGTTGCAGTGTACAAGCACCTCGAAACCTCTTACAGTTGATCTGACCAAAGCTACATTAGCTGACTGTTCATCCTCCGCTGGCCGCGATGCTCATTCTTCTTTCTTCCACCATCGTCCCAAAGATACTACTCTTTGGAATTACAATGAAAGAAAGCATGAGGCACCGCAGTCACCTCACTTATACATGTCAGGAGCTTCCAAACATGTTCAACGATAAAAAAATGCAGGAAGCCACACTTGAAAACAATTAATTCGTTTTCTGGAAATGTTCTCAAAAAAAAAGAATCATTTAATCAAGAGAAAAGCTGCGCACGAAACGAACCTCAAACTTCTGTTGGCCCATTTCGCACAGTATGGTCTCGAGAATCGTACTGCACTTTGATGTGGAGCCCAAACTGCCGCTGACTGAGGGACCCGAACTACTGGCGCCGGTACTCTTGCTCGTGCTAGTGGTGGTGGTGGTGGCGGCGGCGTTATCTTTTTGAGAAGCGTTCGCGACAGTTGTCTTGTCCATTGCAAGAAGCCTGACAGTACGAAAAACTATGCAGATATAAATTTTCAAAAACATTCACACAACACATTCTGAACTCAACAAAAACAGCGCCAGCAACGTGCAGAAACTTCAACTATTTCTCAGCCAACAATGTTACGTTCCAGGCAATTATAAATTAAAAATGCTGAACCAACAGATATAATGATTTGCAAAAGTTAACACTGCAATTTAAAATCTGTTCCTCTTCTCCATCATGTACGGCGATATACCAAAAGCATTAGGTTACTCAAAGAAGTATCCAAGGAAGCAAAAACATGGAAGATTTTTTTTTTTTTTTTTTCAGGACAGCTGCCCGTTTTCCTCGGAAAGCGATGGAGTAAACACACACAAAAGAAAAGTATGAATGAGGGAAATTAAAGAGTGAAGATTTTAATAGAAGGACACAAAACTCAACCAGAGGCATGAAAGTCCCAGTAGGAAATGCGAAATCCAGAACGGAGAGCTAACGTTTTGTCAAGCTAGGTGCAAAATTCTCAAGAATAAGAGAAAGGAGCCAAAAATTACAGCAGAAAAGCAAAAAACTTAAGTAAAACAGTGTGTGTGAAAAACGTTCAAAAAAAGCCCTGCTCACTTATGCGACTGATGAGCGAGCACAAGCAGGAAGAGTGCGCAAGCTAAAACAAAGGCGCACTGATCTTTGTCAAAAGCTGTCAAGCCAGAAGTGAATTCACCGGTCAAAAGAGCAAAATGAAATTAAATGCAGCAAATCGGCAAAACATACTCTGTTTTATGTATTACCAGCATTAAACGATCGCCACTAACAAAGCCAAAGTCAGAATCCGTCAATTTCCGATCATTTCTTGGCAATTCGCGGGTACCAAAGTGGAGCGAGAAGTCACTGAAATATGACGAAAGAAGAACAATGAAAACCCATGCATACCTCAAGAAGACCAAACGCAAACGCTCTCTGCACTATTAACTATTTCTTGAATTTTCCACAGCAATAATATTCACTTTCTAAGGTCGAATTATTCTCCTGCCCAGTACCACTGTGCTGAAGGAAATAAACAGACGCGAAACGTGGTCACTGACGAAGATGGGAAATGAGCGTTGGCTCGAGAGAGATGTTCTGTCTGTTTGTGACCAATCAGGCTATGCATCAGAGGGTGGCGTATAAGGGCCGAGCAATAAAGTAAAATCCGATGAGCAGAGTATGCTGCGAGTGGTATGCGCGCGAGAGAGTTCAATGGTAGCTCAGGCGAACAGACACCGAACACGCGGCTGGCAGTGATGGGAGGAGATGTGGCTCAGGATCGAGTGGCCGGGCAGCATTCCAGTCACAGTGAGTGCCCGGATCACAGCCACTAGCAGTCCTCGCTCTAACTTGCTCATACACCACCACAAAGCATTGTTTCATAATCAGTGCGCAACAGTGTTGTTTCTGTTTGTTAAGATGGCGAATGGACCGGCAATAAGTGATAACTGCATACCGATCTAGCGAGAAACGCTCGACGACCTGTTGGCGTAAAACCGAAAAGCTCCAGCTGTCAACGTTATCAAAAATCTCCACTTTACCACAAGGACTCTTCACACTCAATCTCATCGTTTCGTGCTTTCACCCGGACGAAATATGCCAGCCACTCTAAATTGTTGAAAACGTGAAGGAATGCCACGCTAAAATGAACCGCGCTGCTTCTCGAACGTATTAATTACAAAGCATTTTATTTCTTAAAAGAGATCTTCGAGCTCCCTGATAACACCGAGCGGTCGTTTCTAAGGCAGGACTGAAAGCAGACAGGTCTCACGAGTCAATCAGCCGGAAAACTAGGATCGTCTAAAAGTGTGAGGCGAGTCATTATGGCAAGCTCGCAATATTCATTTCTACTTCGAAAAGCTGATGAAAATCACTGTCTATCAGCCAGAGATGCAGCTGCGACACTCATCAAGGACAGATTTACAAGAAAATGGGCACACATAAACTCAAATGAAGCGGAGCAGCAAAAAACTGACCAACTCCAGCAACAGTTATGTCCCCTACGCACCCTTCCCAGCCAGCAACATCCCAGTCTCTTCTTCAGCGGCAACCGCCTGCGAGAGCTCCCCCACAACACAGCTGCAAGAAGCGGGCCGAATTCAATTGCCCATCCAGAAGCTGATCATCTTCTTGCCTCGCGCCAGAGTGCACGCAATTAACGGAGCTGCTTGCAGTATTTCACACTCTCCGCTGTCACTAGGTGCGGCTGGCACGTTTCGCCAAAAGTAAAATCCCCGGCAAAGAAATCGAGTGAATAAACAACGCACGAAAAAAAAAAAAACTCCAACTGCGCAACAAAAGCTCACCGACTATTTAAGGGTGTCGCCGGAGAATTCTTCAACAAACCTGTTCAAACTTCACTTGGTGACCGCCCAGTTCAGACGCAGTATCGTTGTGTCCAGAAAAAAAAAAAAAAAACTCAGATACAATGCTGACCAACTCAGACACATACGCGTCGCACCTCCAGCACATCTTCACGTATACCAGAAACGAGAAGTGAACACTTCACCCCGCACCACGCCACCCGGCAAACATCCCTCCTCTCCAACGCAAACCTAGCTACTAAATTACGGCTCGACCACGCTTCGATACATTACGCGAAGTTTTAGAGCAAAACGCCGGTCCCCGTACTGAGGACACCGGTAGCTGTTTTTGTTTTGGTTTTCCGAGCACTTGGGTGTGCTAGGTAACGAGCTTTGAGGGCTGTGCTAGTGGGAGGGGGGGAACTCTGGGCGTTTTTTCTTCATGACAAGGGAAGCTGGGACAGTCAAGCAGTGAAAGCACACCGATAGCGCGCGCTGGTCGAAGTGGGACACGGGATGCGGAGGGCAAGATGAGGGGTGGCAGCGAGAGATCAGACGCGGCATCGCGCTGACAAAGCGCTTCGTGCTTGGGACGTCGTTGGTGGTGATTTTTGTCGTGATTTTTACTGCTCCGATCAAGAAGGTTCCGCTAGTTCGGCTCTGTGGAGGGGCCTGTCTGGATGTGCCGATGTTCTTCTGTCAGGGACAGCGGCCCGCTCTGTGAAAAGCGCACTCTGAAGCGGAGCGCTCAGTGCTTTGGACGAGGGCACAGCACTCCTGCGCGTCCTCTGACGCAGTGCCATGCTTCCCAGCTGAGCATTTTATTCGTGGGCCTCTGGCCGCTCCGTTCGTTCCAGTCCTCTCTCTCCTGGCTGTGCGCCCGTCGTTGATAACCGTCTCCTGCATTTCTGATCTTATCAGTGTACCTCTCCCACAGCTAGCTGCTTGTATTTTCATTAATGTGCTCGTGTATCTGTGCAAATGTAACTATAACTGTACCGCAAAACCGCATTTTCATAAATGCTCCCCTGAACAATACATTCAGCTGCAATAAATAATAATATTAATTATAATTATTATTATAACAACAATAATGGTAGTAGTAGTAGTAGTAGTAGTAGTAGTAGTAGTAGTAGTAGTAGTAGTAGTAGTAGTAGTAG